AAGAAAAAAAAGGGTCAGAGAGAAAAGGGTGCATACTGAGCGGCCAAGTGCTGTTTAGACAACAAGTGACAAACTAGAATGCATGGGCAATAAAAAGAAGTTAAAGCAGATCGTATTGATAAGAGAGCTCTTCTGTCATATATATGAATCATATTGCAATCTATCTCGACACGATGGTATCAGTAATTTTTTATTATAGTTTATAGAGTGATCGTTAGTATAATTTTTGTTTATCGTAAGTCGTAACACCCCAAAAAGAACACTTTTTAAAAATTCCTATCCGACCTAATGCTAATTCGGATGTCTAATCTACAACTTTTGATACATCCGAAGTGAATACTTTTTTTTTTCCGAAGTGAATACTTATAATTTCATTAAAATGTGATATATTTAATTCTGATTTCTCTTAGATGATTAATTGTACCGTTGGTGTTTGGTTTCATGGTCTAAGCAATTGATGAAGTCGAAAAACTTTATTACTACTTTTGATTAAATCAATGACTGCATCAAGTTGGTCCATCTCATAATTATGGTTCAAATTAAAAAAAAAAAAAATTTAGTACACTACAAATTTTAAGATTAACGAGAATAATAATGACTAAACTAACGTTAAAATTCCTGATACGAACAACTTTGAGAAATACCAAACTTGATATAATTGGAACAATGATTGTTTGTCTTCTATTTTGCACCAATGCTAGGAAACAAGAGATGGCCACGAAATTTGTAAGAAGAAATTGTATATATATGAAACTCAAACTGAATCATTTTTGTGGAATTTTAAAGTACTTTAATTAACAGGTAACGTCACAACTTAGGTCATATATATACGTGATTGGAGTACAATTTTTTTCTAAAAGAAAATACTTAAAATGTAATTTGGATAGTATCCTTGATGAACTACCAATAGTACCTACATATGACAAGTGAAGCAAATGAGAAACCCTAATTTCTGAAATAAACGGTAGTAGTAGAATATAGCAAGAAATAAGAAAAACCGGAATCAACGACAGAGTGATTGGCCGGCGGTAAAGTGGGACCCAGATGTCGGCTAATGGGATGACACGTGGCGGAATGAGAAAGGAATAATTTTGGAGGAAATCGAGGAAAGAGGGTAGAATGATAAGTGGTCGCAGCCTCCTGATTAGGTTTTGCTTGGCATGTGCTGTCTCACTCACAGTCAGTAGTGTTTCAATTTGAAAACTTTCACCTTTTTTTTTCTTTACTAAAATCATAGCCAAATCTATCTATTTCCAAATCATCTTTGATAAAATAAAATTATACAACCAAATTTTATGTTACTCTAGTTTGCTTGTATAGTTTTATACTCAAATAGGAAGAGAAACTACTGTCTAAAATACTATTTAATAAACTAGTTTTTTATAATCATTTTTCACTAAATACAATGTTATGAAAAGTATTCAGTTATGCTTACTATGTAGTATGTACTGTTTAATATTTACTATATTTGACTGCAAAAAGAAACTCTGTTCTGTATACATACAAGTTAAAGAAAACGAGATCCTCTAATCTCATGTAGCATTATTGCTCTTTGAATTATAAGCACTGTTTTTGCATAATTTTAGTTTTTTATTTTGGCTGAAAAAACCTGCATGCTTATTTTAACATGTAGTCCTCTCTCGTAGTTGATAACACTAACCAGGGACGTGTATAAAATAGAATAAAAGAAGATTTTAGGATCGGATTAGAGATTTGAGGCGCAATTTCCAAAGGGACCCGCATAATATTCTTGCCTCCATCTTCAAGCAAAGCATCAAAGCGTAGATTCCCATGCAACAACTCTCTCTCTTTTTTATTTTTTTAAATCTTCGGAGCTTTCTTTTGTTTTGTTTCCACTTTAGTGAAAATGTTTCTCGATTTCAGAAAATGGATTCGTTTTCACCATATATCTTTTGTTTTTCTTTATTCATTCCTTCATTATGTGCTCTAACGCTAACATATCGATCTAGTTCTTTTTTAGAAAGTGTTTTTTTTTTTTTCATCTATAACTAGCTAGTTCCTCAAAAGTAAATTTATACTATATGTTTTCAATTCTTAATAAATGTTCAGTTTAAATGTACTTTAACTTTATTATAATATATATTTACAAAAAATATCATCTCAAATGAAATCTACTACTCACAAGTCACAAATAATCATATATCTTGGTTAAAAAGTAAATACGTTTATGTGAGGTTTTGTTTTTTTTTGCTAAGACTTTTATGTGAGATTATGTATGAGTTTACTGGAAAGTATTTAAGAGAATGATTTTGATCACTTTTAAAACTTTGTTCTATAATACCATTTTTGTTTGGTAAATTTTATAATCCGGAACTGTGATGTAAAAAACAAAAAAAGTTTCATCAATTTACAGCTATTTTTTTCGCTTTTACAATAGATTTTAAAAAAGTAAGTATTTTGTCATGACATTTTTAATAAATGATATCATGAGTACTCATGACGTAGACGCGCGTCACTGGTTCGCGTGATGTTTCAAGTTTCATATTGCACCGTGGGCCTATATTAACTAATATCACACCAAACAAAATTGGTGCCTACACTCACCAGGCAAATGGGCTCAAATAAAATAGAGCAGAACCGCTGATTTCAATAACCGGTGAAAATATCAAATGTTTTATTTCCGGTCAACAGTTAAAATAATCCAACCGGAATATCTAACCACATTCAATAACCATTTCTCATTTACTCGCACCCTCAGACATCAACCTCTTGATCAGCCCCAATATCTCTTCTCTCAGATGATTAACCAAATCAGGTACAGTCTCCTTCACATTAGTAAACCACAGCTCATCCCGATTCTTCATTCCTCCAGCGCTGAACCATTCGCATATAACCCGAGCGATAGCAAGAAGGAAAACACCGCAGTCGTACCCGTTCTTTTGCTGCGGTGTATCAGTGCATTCCTTGTATGATGCATCTCCATTAGATACAAACGGCGAAACCGCCTTGTAGAGATCTTTTGCGCTCCATTTATTCACTCCCATGAAGCTATCGTGATGGACAAACGTGTTGGCCTCTTTGTAGTACACAAGTAAGCTCCAATGTAATCCGCCTTCTGCTACCTCGACATTTGTATTGTCGTTTACAGGGAATATCAGGAGGTCTTTGTCGCGCAAATTAAGGGGTTTCACGAAATCTTTGAGGTGTTCAGTGTCGGGGCAGTTTGAGATCCAGAAAGCAATGGAGGGAGGGATTAGTGAGATGGTAGGGGAACTGTGAACTGTGGATAAGAAGCTTAGGTAGAACTCGATAACACGATCGTTTAGAAAATTGGGTCCGTTTAGGATGTCCAAATCTGATCTCCTGAGGACAACATCTTCATAGCTGAGTATCTTGACGTCACCAGAAGTATTTCCCATAGCGTATACTGAAAATCTAGGAAATCTGCAATATACCAAAATACAATTTCTTAAGCCAATTATAAAATGTGAAACATGTTCTTGATTAAGTGATCATAAGGTTCAAAAAGCGGAATTGCTTAGTCAATAAGGAACCTTGTCTTAGCTTAAGCTAGAATTGCATCTTGTTCATTCTAACTACGAGCAAGAACGTTATCAGTAACATGGAATCTTAATGTCTAGCATGAAGGCTAACTAGAAAAGGCTATTGATGAACACAGGACAATTCCCAGAGAATACGTAAACGTCATCAGTTTGATTCAATCAAAAATATAAATCACCTAATTGCATCTACCCATATGCTCAAGAAAGTATTAATCATGCTTAGCGTGATTAACACAGGCATATTATATACATCAAAATTTCGGTTAGGCATTTTATCGAACAGTTTGAATGCATCAAAAATTGTTCTTAAAACATCAACAAACAAGGATCAAAATTCTCCGAACATATACACATCCAAATAAAAGCAGTGCTTCTCAAATTTCTATGGAAACAAAGACTATATCAGCGGAAAGAAACTTCCTAAAGATTCATTCACAGTATATCTGAATTTCAGCAGGAAAAAAAAAACAGATAAATTATCAATCACCTGAAAGATTCAGCTTAGTATTCCAGCAATCCGCCGATAGGTTTATCGCGAGAACCCAGCATGAATGAAGAGGAGGATACAAAAAAGTAAAAACTGGGGAAAACGAATTGTAAATATGATATTGGGCCCATAAACTCAATTTGGGCCGAAGTTTCGTTCGTATCAGTATCGTCGGTTGACCTGACTTGAAATGACGATTATACCCTTCTTATTCCATGGAATTTACGATTTCCCACCACCGCCCACCACCGCCGTCGCAAAAGCTATCATCTACTACCGGAGAACGA